GTTTAATAAAATTTTTAAAAGATTATATTAATTAATTATATAAAACTTAAATATTATAAATATATTTACTATCTTCTAAGAAGAAAGGGAGCCTAATACACTTAAATCTAATAATAATAGTAAAAACCTAAAAGGGAAACTAATTTACCTTTATAATTATAAGTATTTTTACTTAAAGTACTATTATTTTTTTAACTTAATATAATTAATTAAATAATCTCTTAAAAATAAAGTCTAAAAAGAAATTAATTAAAAGCTTTAAAACCCTATAATTAAGGGTAAAGTTAAATAATTTATTAGAAACTAGAAAAGAAAAAGAAATAATTCTAGTAGCAGAATAAATAGGAAATTAAGGGTATTAACTTTACTAGAACTATAGCTAAAGCCTAGCCTATAAATACGCAGCTGATATAATAGCTATTTTACGAATAAACTTAATTTATATTTTTAATTATTGCTATTTATTTACTTTATAATTTCTTTATTTTAAACTTTAAATTTAACTTTTATATATATAATAATTTTAAACGCTTTATTAAAGAATTTTATAAAAGTTATAATAATACTAAAAGCGCTTACTTTAAAAATATATACCTTAAAATCCTTACACTAATTAATTAATAAGAGAAGTAAAAAATCTATTAATATATAAATTATTATAATAAAGAAAACTAAGTAAATAAGCTTATAAAGTAGCAGCTTGTTTATATATAGTTTATTAAAGTAGCTTTTTATCTGCTATAAATAGAAACCGTACTAGTAAAATCTTCCTTTAAAGCTAAGAAACTATTATAAGCTAATCTAATACTATATAGCAGCTCTAACGCTCACATAATAGTAGAGATTAGAGGAATTATTTAATCGTACTATTTTACTAGTATAAGAAGGTAGCTTTATACCTCTTCTCTTAAATTAAATAAGTTCTGCTTTTATAAGTAGCTTTATTCTTAAAAGTAATATTTATAATATTAAGCCTAGGCTACTAGCTAAAATCGTGTAATTAAGTTCATTAAATCCTATTTATATTAATACTTTTTCTACTAAGAAAAGATAATTAATTAAATTAATTATATTAAATTATTTAATTATACTTATAATTATAATATTTAATATAATTTATCCTTAAATATAATAAAGTAATTATTTAAATTAATAAAATAAATAAATTTAAGCTTTAAAATATTGCTTATATTCTAATATTTTATATAAATATAATATTCCAGATCTCTTTCTTTAAAAAGAATATAACTAAAACCTAGCTATAAGCGCTAAAATAAAAGATAATCTTTCGTATAAAAAGGTGATATTTTAGCCTATTATTAAATTTAACTAAGTGGATTATAAATCGTATATACTACTAGTAACCATTTTTATATTATCTACATAGCTAAGACCTAAGTCCACTATAAAAGCTACTTAATAGTATAAACGCCTAGGTTATCTTAGGTTTAAAGCCCTTAAGCACCTAGTTTAATAAATAACTAGAGCTAAGATTTAAAGGTTTACTTAAGATTAAGTGTAAAGATTAGGCTGAAAGCGCTATAACCTTTCTAGCGTATTTATATTAGTATCTTTACTACGAGTAACAGATATAATAGAATAAAATACGCTATATTAATTAAAAATAAATATATATTTATAACTTATATTTACCTCTTAAAAGATAAAACTATTAAAAGTATTCTTAGAGTATTAAAGGCCTTTAAAGCTTATATTTAAAGATAATTTAACACGTTTATTTACGTTATTTATTAAGATAATAAGAGAACTTTAGTTAGAATATACGACATAGATCACATCCTAAGGGATCTAAGATAAACCCACTACGCCTAACACACCAGCATAAAATAGGCCTGCCGAGCGATCTAGGGGGGTAATAGGCAGCCCGACATTACTCACCTTAAGGCGTACGAATGCCGCGCCTATCCGGTAACCAGGGAAGCCCTGCAAGGCAAGCAGAAGAAAAACCTGAAGATCTATTCGTATATAGAATTTAGATTCTAGAATAAAAAGAGATTTATTAAGTCTAAGATATAACCTTTAATAAAACCTATTTTTATAATTTAAGAGATTACTTATAAAAGCTTTATATTAAAGAAATAGAACTATAACTTTAATTTTTTACTTATATTAAAAGTAGCTTAAAACTTAAAAAACTAAAAAAAACTAAGATAAAAGTGTATAATAAGCTAAAATTATTACTTTTAAAGAAGGTAAAAAGTAAAAATAAAATATAATTAATTATTTAGGTTAATAATTAAAATTACTTTAAGAAAGAAATAAATTAAGAGCTTAAAAGCTTTAATAATTAAGCTATAAGCTAGGCTATTAGTCTAATACCTAATAAAAGTTATAAAGGCCTTTATAGGTTAGACCTTTTAAATTAAAATAATTAAAAGAATTCATAAGCTTATAATAATAAATATAAAATTAAAATTAATAATTAATTAATAAGAGAAGAAA